CTATTTGAGCTACATTTATTCTTCACATGATGTTGCTGTAATTTTAGTTTTTTAAAAGCCTGTCAAGTGTGCATGGGAATGTTTTGTACAATATATATATTTTTTCAAAATTTACCCTCACTGAGATTTTCTAACGGTCAACCTGTTATTCTGGAAAGGACAGTTTGTTAAAATATTTTTGATTACCTAGTATGTGTGAGATGGTTTCCTCATTAGGCTTTGTATGGTAATACAGGCAGAGGAATTTGGTGCTGTCAAAAGTATTGTTTGATTAGTGATACTTAAATTGAGTTAGTTGTCACTTTTCCTATTTGAGGTTGTGGTTCAACATGTTAACAAATATCTTTAATAACTTGTGCCTGTTTATTAGTCCCCGTTAGAACAAAGTTCGAAACAGGGATTTATAATTCGGTCTCCGTCTGTACGTCCTTCTGTCAGTCAGTTCTTTCGTCTGTCCATCCACTCGTCCATCTGAAGTCATATTTCAGCACCCTGTAGACCAAATCTGTTCATTCTTTGCATGTGCCTAGTACTTTATCTGGAAAATATGCACATGCAGATTCAATCCAAGATGGCTCGCAGCCATTTTGTTTTTTGAAGATGTACTATCTTATGCATGCTTTGCCAGTTTTTGTTCAAATTTGTGGCCTGGACAAATGAAATCATTATTTAATTCCTTACCATATATTACGATTTTGGAAGAGTCATTTAATACATCTAATTTCTGTTGATACTAGACCAGCCGATTATTCACTCTAAATTATTAAGTATGCTTTTGGTCCATATTACATTATTTTTGGCATGAATAACATTACCCCTAATTCCAACGAGGACTATGTCATTCACAATGACTTGGCTTTAGAATATTTTAAATTGACAATTATCAAATTATTTACAGTCTGCAGAATAATATCAAATTTTTGAATAATTATAATATAATTACAGTATTAAGAAACTCATTATATAGCATATAATTTTGAAGCTCGGATAAATTTGAAATCCTGCGTAGTTAACCATTTGGCACGATTAATGTGTGAGGCTTAACATAGGGACTTAACGACAATGGTGTATTGGTTATTGCACCATGCTATACAACTGTGGACCAGTTGTTTGTTCAAAAAACCAAATATTGCAAATGACTGATTTAAGTAGTTTTTTATCGGCTTTACTTTGAGTAGCAGGCTATGAATGCTAGCATTGTACATGGAGTGGTCAAACCAATACCAGAATGATGTATTTAATTATGTGCTGTCAGGACTACATGACAGACATATAGCTGCCCATGTCTGGGTTACATCAAGCATTGCCATGTTGTTCAATTTGAATCGCAGCCAAAATATCATAATATATGCCATTTAAAACACATAGTCAGCTAGTATAATACCCGTATCATACCATTCTTAATCAGGTTTTTTCTTGATTGCGCATAGGGGTAGATGAGTGTGTAATGTCCACTCAGATTAATCAATTAATTCAGAATCAACTATTACAACTTTTGTGAGATAACGATAACATCTCTCTCTGCATGTGGTCCCACAACTAAGAGCTTTTTTTTCTTTTTCCCCCTGCAGGAAGAGTGCAAGACAAAGATAAGCAGGTCGGCCAATTTACAATTTAAAGTAGTGTGTAGGTTCATCATATATAGACACACCGACTACTTGTAGATGTTACATTCCATTATGGCCACGGACTGGCGAGATTACAATGATGGCCAAGGTGGTGTCATGGGTGAGTATCATCTTATCCCAGTTTGAAATTTACCAATTCTGAATTCTTACATTTTACTTGAAAATGAAAATTTCAAGATGCCCATTCCTGAAAAAACAAACAAAAAAAACTGAATAAAGTTGCATAATTTTTTGGATTTTCATCATTATAATAATAATAAATCATAGTAGTCAACAGTAATTCACTTTTATTTTTTCA